CTTCTCCGCGAAGGCTTTCCACTCCCGAAACCTCCACACACTGCCTTCGTCCGGGTTGTTGTCCTCCCGGTACTCCCCAGGATCGCGCGGCTGTTCCTTCGCGAACATCACCCTGCTCTCCGTTGATGCCTGCGCCACCACGTGCAGAGTCATCATCCTCAGCCACAGCACCGCATCCCCCTGGACCATTTCCCGCTCATAGGTCGTCAACCCCTCCTTGCCATAGGGCTCGGTTTCCGACCGCACTGGTCTTGGTCCCGGAGTTCTCGTCCTGCACGCCGACACCGTCCTGCATGGTGGACCACCCAGAACTGCCTTGACCTTACCGGTCCTCGCCAGCTTCAGCAGGTACGCAAACACCTGTGGTCTCAGAAGGTCCTGTCCTGGGTCAATGGCCATGTCCACGCAAAGCACCGCCACGCCACCCCCTTCCAGGCCTTCTATCCACTCCTTCTCATTGGCTCCCGCGAACAAGTGGATGACCAAGCTTTCCGCCTTCTCAAACGTTCTCCTCCTTCTTCTGTTCCACGGCAACGACTCTCCATCCACGTCCATGTCCGGGATCACCCTGCCGATGATCTCGTCCGGCACTTCCGACCAAAACTCCTTCAGAGCCCTTGTCATCGCCAACTCCGGTTGATCTCTCAGCTCCTCCATCGGCATCTTCATCGCGGCCAACCTCATCGCGTGTTTTTCTTCCATGATTTCCATCTCGTCGATGAGGTCCAGGGCCACCCTTGCTTCCACCATCGGACAGCTGTCCACCATCTCAACCTCCAGGCTCTGGTTCCTTCTGCGAACCCGGCAATTCCCCTGCTTCCATTCCACCTCATACCCCATCAGGGTCAAGACACCCATGGGCACAATCGGCTGGATCTCCTCCAGCGTGATCAACGTCAACGTACCCTCCTTGAGCCTCATCTTCGAGGTGGTACCCTCCGCCAAGATCACTTGCGTCGGGGTTGCCGCGTTCCACTCCTCCATATCCTTACACTTCCGTAGAGCATGTGTGGCTCCACCATCCAGCAGGCCTTTGTCTGTCGTCACCATGTTCATTTCCTTGATGACTGCCATTGCCTTTGCCGAGGGCATTCTCAGCGATCTCAGCAAATGTGCCGCTTCAACCAGCAGCTCCCCCGTTCCCCCACCAGATCCACCACCGGTAGAAGACACCGTCGCCGAAGTAGGCTCGACCTCCACAGTCTGCTCGATGATCTTTTCAGATCCTCCTCCACTAGGTCCACTAGGCCCAGCTGGTCCACCACATCCTCCCCCCGAGCCGCGTCCCGGCTCGTTGCTCGCCGCCTTCACCGTCGGCTTGGCCATCTGACCTTTTCCTCCACCTTTCACCGGGCACTCCGCCCTGCGGTGCTGCTTTGACCCGCAGATCCAGCATCTCGCTGCCTTATCCTCCACCGAGTCCCAGTCGTGACTCCACTTGCACCCTTTTCCCAAGCGGCACCCCTGCTCGGAACTGAAGTACCGACACACCGCCCCATTCCCTTCTTTCTTAGGTCCAGAGGCCTCCCCGCCTGGTCTTCCAGCCGCCGTTCCCGCCGTTGTTCCTGCCGTCGTTCCGGTCACCAACGCTTTCACCTTGGCTGGCTCCACATTCATCAACCTCGCCGTGTCCATCTCCGCCAGCAGCAGCTCCGAATAGCTCCAGATACCTTGTACCGAGGGAGTGGTATCCAACCCCAGCAAGGTTCGCGCTTGGGCAACCCGAAAAGCTTGTGGTCCTCCTCGGTTGACCAATGTCGTCACCTTCTCCAGGGCCGCCGCCAACAAGGTAGGATCCGGCAATGAAGCTCCAATTTCCTGGGCCCTCATGTAGTACCTCCTCCACTCACGCAGGGACGTCGCTGCCTCCGCGTAGCCCCGCAACGGCCCCAGGTCCGTGAGCTTCCTGAGGATCAACGTCCTCTCGCCCGGACCACCCGGCTGGTATATAACCAGCAGCTTGTACAGCACCGCCGTGCTGCTGATGTCTCTGGAAGAGATGAGCTCCTTCTTGATCTCCTCCGGTATCGCCCGCAGCAGAAGAGTCACCCCCCTCTGCTCCGTCCGCACGAACCGAAGCCCCCGAAGTGCCTCGGGCAGCGACACCACGATCTGCAAGCGCTCCAGCGGCGTGCTCTTCAGCCAAACTTCATAGAGCCTCTTCGCTTCTTCCATGGTGCCAACCCACCATTCCGAGGCTCCTTGAGACAGATCCTGCATCTGCGGAGCCACCAGCGCCAGCCAATCCCCAAGAGTAAGAGGGGAATGATCGTAGGCCAGCTCCGGAAGTTCCACCTTTGCTCCAGCACCCCCGGTCTCGACCTGGTCCACCGGCCTGGTCTCTGCCTTCGGGTTCTGGTCCGAGCCGTCCCAGTAGTTCCACATCCCGCTCCAGTTCCGATACCACCAACCATTCGCTTCCGGCTGTTGGTCTTCCCACCTCGCCTGCCATGCTCCTGGCTCCTCCTCCACCCTCACCACCGCTCCCGGATCTCCATCCGGAACCTTGGTTCCACCCGGCGTCCACCTTTCTCTCCTTGTGGGTGATCTTGTCCTTGCTCTCGGCGGACTCGCCGTCCGCGATGTCGGCCTCACCACCACTGGCATCGGAGGAGGTGGTGGAGGTGGAGGTGGTCCCTGAGTGACGGCCGTGGCAATCGGCGTTTGGAACACCTCCGCAACAGGCGTCTCGAACCTTTCCTGTTCCGCCTGCTCGTACCGCTTCTTCCAAAACCACGTGCTTTCCTGCCACTTCCTTATCTCCCCCTTCAGGTTCTTGATCACCCCGAAGAGGTACTCCCGCTGCTTCTCCATTCCTTGCAGTTTCCGGCAGGCCAGTCCGTAGTTCCTTTCCATGTTCTCCGCCAAGTCCATCTCCCCGATCAGTTCATCATCTTGGTCTGCACGTTGAGCTCGTTCAGGAACCCACATCTTATGTTCATCACTCCAGACCCAGTCCAGGTCCAACCCGTGTCCGGCCCAGGTCCACCTCCTTGATGCGTCTCTACCGGATCCATCCGTTTCCGCCTCCTTCTGTCCTCCGGCGCCAAGGATTCCAGACCTCCTCACCGCTACATCCCATTCCAGTCCAAACTGATCTTGCCGATGAACTTGACCTTCACCTGGTAGTAGGGGTCGCTGCTCACGTAGTGGTTCCCGTGGTTCCCGACCTCCACCACCACGCCAATCCCTCGCATCACTCGGCCTCGGAACTGGTCCATCTCCCCGTTCCTCACCTGGCCGTAGAGCTCGTGGGGGACCCACCTCCATATTCCGAGCTCCTCCTTCTCTTTCCATTGATCTCCCCCGCATCAACCCAGGTCTCCCCGGGCCATCTGCTGACGATCCCCGTCCATCACCCGGCAGCGGATCAGCTCCTTGATGCGGCTCCCTACCATAACCATGTAGTAGAGCTGGTTCACCTCGCCTTCCTTCCCGCGGATCCTGTTCTCCACCGTTGGCTACCTCCGCCGCTCCGGCATTCTCCAGGTCCGCGATCAAGTCCCTTTTGACTTCACTCCAGAACTCCTCATTCCTGGTTCTCCCAGCAGCTTCCGGGTGGCTACCAACTCCTCGCCCTGGAAGATCTCCCGCAGGAGCGTCTCCGGCACCCGCCTCATCGTCCGTCTCCTTCCTGACCTTCTGCGCGCTTACGGTGTCCGGGACCTTGGGCAACCCAGCAGGCCTCATGGCGTTCAACTCCGCCTCCCCCACCGCCCGCGAGCTCCAGAAAGGATTTACCTCCACCCTCCGCTGCTGACGCTCTTGCCGCCCAGCATCTCCCGGGTGTCCTTCTTCTTGAAGTTCCACCTCGCCGTCCGGCTCGGCCACCAAGACCCCCGGGTCCATGCTCTGCGACCTCCGCCGCCTCATGCCCGCATCCATTGGCGCGGCGCGGCCTCAAGGCTTTGGGCTCATAACCCTTGTCAGGGGCTGCAACCTTTTCTCTCAGGCTGCTTGATGCAAAACGGGGCTCCGGGATACGAATCCCAACGGGCCAGGAAAGCGAAGGGAAAACAAGTTCCCCTGTTTGGAGACAGTCCCAAAATGTGCGGTTTCCTCTTGTCATGTTTCAGGACATTTTCTCGACACACCCGCCCTTAACTTGGCTCATGGGGTAGTCTGTTTTCATATTTAGGTGGATGATGTGCAGTTTTTATTAGCCCCGGCCTTTTGCTAGCCCCGGCTCAGCACAAGGCCTCTGACTCATCTGCCAAGCAGGTTTGGCTGGCATCCGGATCAACCGGTGCTCTCTGGGGCTAGGTTTGGGGGTTTCTGTTGGCTTGCTGAGATCTTGAGGGCAGGTCTCGGGTGTTTCAATGAACCCCAAACAAACCCAAGAGCCCATGGCAGCTAAAGCTCCGAGCGAGACCTATGCTACTGCGGAACGCCAAATGGGTGTGTCTGCTTTTAGGGGACCACACAAAATTATGTTTTTCTTAAAAACCACCAAAAACAAAGTATCCCCCGAAAAAAAGACAGACCCAAATCACAGCTGGCTGGGCTTTTGACCCATTTTTCTGGTTGACTCCTTAAAGTCATCCTGTTGCATGCACCTCCACTAAGCCATCGAGTCCACCTAAAAAGCGGCCGTCCTTCTGCTTTCCCTTCAAGACAATTCCCCCCCAACAAAAAAAGTTGCTTCACTTCCAAAAAAAAACCTCCGTCGAATTCCAGTTGAGGTACCTGTGGGCAACAGCTCCAAAATGAAGCAATCGAAACATTGTGGTGGATATCCAAAAACCCTCTCCTGTAAAAAAAAGAGAGAAAGAAAGAAAAGCAACCAACTCAAAAAAAAGAGAAGAAAACAACTCCCCACACACACACACAAGAACATTAAAAACAAAAAACAAAGTCTGTGATTTGCTTGTGCATTTTGTCCAGAAAAAATGGTGTAAACACACACACACACACCCATACACACACAAAGGGAAAAAGGGAAAATAAAAAGGAAAAAGAAGAAGAAGAAAAACGCAAAGGGGTTCGAAGGTCCAGGGCTCTGCCCGTAGTTCAGGGCGCAGATCAGCGCCACGAACCAGGTCTTGTCGAAGATCTCCGCCACCCCCACGATGCAGAAGGACCGCACCACCACATCCAGCTGGCCTCAACTCGACGCGACTCGACTCGACTCGGCTCGGGAGAGAGGTCAGCGCGGAAAATGTCTTTCGACTCGGAGCTTGCAGTTTTTTTCCTTTTCTTTTTCTTTCGGGGCGAGGTTCTTTTTGGTGGGCGGACACCCACCAAAAAGACAGGTCCCGTTGACACGTATCCGGGCAGAGACCAAATCCCTAGCTTTCAGCGGTTCGGGACAAAAACATGGGCTCACCTGGGGTCTCTGGGGGGGATCAGTGTGGCGTTTTGGGTGACCAGTTTGGCATACCAAGAGGAAGCTAAATCGTGGCCTTGAAAGGCCCATTTGTGTGTGTGTGTGTGTCTATGTTCAATGGCCCCAAACAGATGCCCAAAATGGACAAAAAGTCGGTGGGGATGAACACGTTGACACCAACTACTTTGGTTTCAACTCTTCCGGAGGATCAGTTTGGCAGCAGAAACCTACCTTCTTTGGCTGTGAAAAACGTCTGAGTCAGAATCAAAACCCGGTACTAGAATGGTCTACCCAGAACCATGTAAAGAATTCAGAAGGCGGCCGCAGCCATTTATGGTTGGGATTGGCCCTTACTAACCTTCATCCACCCGGGTTCTGATTGTGGCGAAGGAAAGCCAGCAGCAAAAACCACTCCCTAAAGATGGACACACAGAAACCAAGGGCCAGAAACTGGCGAATCGGCGCAACACCAAGAAAGGGTACCCGGAAAATATATATATATATATAATATAATATAATATATATATATATATGCCCATGTCGGAAAAAGAATCAAATGGCTCTGCTTTAATATGGGGTTGCCCCGCTTGAGTGGTTTTAAAAAAGAAACTAACCAGCAACCTCCCAAACGCCAGCTTTCGGGTTGCAAAACCCCTTTGAGACACATCCAAAAAGCCTGCCACAGCCTATCAGGAAGCCGCTTGTCCGCACATCCCCCCCCACCAGTTTTGTTTGGTGTCCCCTTTGAGACACAAATGGATGGCCTGCACACTCACCGGGAAACGCACGCAAGCGCTTCTCGTCCGGCCTGCCAAACTCTTGGGGCTCACCGTTCTCCGGTCCTCCAGCGGCGCCGAGAGCGCCGCCACCTCGGCCTTGGTGAACCGCGGTGAAAACCCGTGGGGCCGTGGCCCGGGTAGATCAAGTGGCTGAAGACGATCCGTTCGCACCACGTTCAAACCATGGGAAACCATTGTTGATATTTTTGGAGGGAATATTAGGATGTAAGTGGAAAAATGGATTTCAGTAGGGTGTAGCCCTGGCTTAAACTTTTGGTGCGAACACGACCAGCTCTCGAGATTTGACGTGATATTTGTCTTAAGACAACCTCCTCTTGCTTTCCATTTAAAGCAATTGGGGTTGATCGGGGCTGTGGGAAATGGAATCCACTTCTGTAACACAAGAAAAAGGGCCTCTCAAAGACTAACCCCCCATAGAGAGGGGATTCCCTTGTATCACTTGTATCACAGTGGAGACATCTCCTGACCAACCCCCCCCATATAAAGGGGAGATTCCCTTGTATCACAGTGGTGGTTGCATAACCCCCCTTGATCCCACAACCCTGGGGTGGAGTCTTCCTTCTTTTTCTGGCCTCTCCGGCCTCCGGCGTCTCCAAAGTGGAGTCGAGCACCGAGAGGGTCAGCCCCGCCGCACAAAGCGGCAGAAGCAGCAGGCCGCGCATGGCGCGGGCGAACGTTTCGATCTCGGATGGGCGTGAAATCCGCCTTGGAGCCAAGGGAAAGCGGGCGAAGGCGCGAAATAAACGGAGCGGTCTCTCTCCTTGCTTGTGGTGCTTGCTGTGGGTGGTGTGTGTCTTGCTGAAGCTTTTACACCCAGCCCCACTTTGAAACCCTAAGACCCTAAACCTGGGCTGCTCTCCCTTTCTCCTGTCTCTCTTGTCTCCGGACCAACTTATCGTTTGGGAACGAACTGAACATGACATGCCGCTGCCGGGCATGGCATTTGACGTCCCATCCAAATCCCGAAATGGAGACCCCAAATCCGGACAAAGGCTTCATCTGTCGGGAGGGCTCGGCTCCCTTTCAGGCCGAGGATTGATTAGGCTCCATGATTTTTTGCGAGTTGAAACGTCTTGTCCGCCCGCAGCTTCGGACAGTTCCCCCCTTTGCAGCAAGCCCGAGGCGACCGGAGCATGATCAGCCGGAATGCGGACCTATCAAAGCAACTCCCAGTCCCTTTTCATCCGAATGTGTTGGCGGTGGCACAGGTGGTGGTGCTGCTGTCTGAATTGTTTGCTCTTCACATGGCCGTTTCCATTCCCAAGTCAACTCGTTTCCCACATCTTGTAACTATGCATCGAAGATAGGGATATGAGAATAACACCCCAAACTGGATAGCTTTCTTTTAGCTTCTCCTCTAGGTCCTCCAGTCGAGAGCTTCGAATAAGTTGGCACCAACTTCTTTCTGTCCATTTTAAATTTTAGTAGGGGAACCCTCCCAACCCAAAAAGAAACAAACGGGTGAGAGGTCGGGCACCAATGGCTGGGACCCAGTCCTTTCAACCCAAAAACCCCGCCGTCTTGGGATCCGCGCCGGCGGCCCCGGGGCTTGGCCCTCTTCACCTGGCCACTGAGACTTGGCCTGGTGGGTGGAGCGGGTGGAGCGGTCCACTTTGGGAAAAGGTGGCTCTCAAAAATACAAACGCGAAAACAGATCGGGCGTCAAGCACGACCGAGTCCGATGGGTCTCTGACGGGTCCGAGCCGGCCTTCCGGCCCGAGTCCAGGCGAAAGAAGCCGCGGGAAGTGCCACGGGGTAAAGCACGCAACACGCCAAATGGGCCCAGCGTCCAGGGAACCTACCCCCCCAACAAAACAAACAAGAAACAAAACGAAACATCCCCTACTTATAGAAATATATATATATATATATAACTATTTAGCTGTTTATTTATTTATTTATTTAAAACCGGGAAAAAAGGAACAAACCAAATTACATCGCTTCGAGCAATCCCCGCCCTCCACATTCACGAGCTTTCGACAGTGAACACGGTTGTGTGAATTCAAGCATGGTTTTCGAGTGGCTTGGGGCCTATGACTGCTCAACAAGCTTTGCGCTGCGAGCCTTATCCACCTGTCTGCGTGTCAAACTCCACTTGTCTGCGAGCCAATCTCGAGAACTCAAACATCGGTTCCGTTAACAAAAGCCAAGCCCCTTCCAAAAAGAAACCCGACAGGGGATTAAGCGAAGTTGCTTATACAACACAAAAGCATCACCCTTTCCGAGCCTCAGGGTGCACTCAAAACACGAAGGCACCAACGTGAAATGTAAACCCAACTGCGCGCCAGGCGGGACATTAAGCAAAACCAGACTGGCGAGCTGCTCGGGATCCACTGGCGAATGCTGGCGAGCCGCTCCGGCTCGATACTGGCCAGATACTCGGCAAGATCCACCGGCAAGGGATACTCAGCAGGATACTTGGCGCGATCCACTGGCGAGCTACTCTGGGATACTCAGCAGGAACTCGGCGGGATCCACTGGCGAGCCGCTCTGGCGGGATACTCAGCGGGATCCATTGGCGAGCCGCTCTGGCGGGATACTCGGCGGGATCCACTGGCGAGCAGCTCTGGCGAGATACTCGGCGGGATCCACTGGCGAGCTGCTCTGGCGGGATACTGGGTGGGTGTAGAAGCATCGCAAACGCGGATTCCAACATACAATCTAACAACCCCTTCCTGTCAGGTGGGGAAAAACATGTGCGAGGGATCTTTGTGAGAAATGGACGAGATCCCTGGTCCTAGATCCAAGCAGAGGCGAGCGGGCTCGCGTCGCAGAGGCCACCCCCCCCTTGAGTTGAACTGAGAAACGCCTCAAAAAAGATCGGCTCAAGATAGTTATTTTTGGATAGTGACAGGTGAAAGATACCCTTCCTCCAACTCACATGGCACCTGTGGGAGGGTACCTGGAGGATCAATTTACTCTCCAAGGGGCCCTCTGTCAGAAGCCATGTTAGTGGAAGGGAGGGTAGTCTTTTTGGGATAGTGATAGGTGAACCAAAGGAATCCACACAGATTGTCGGGAGGGGGGGGGTCGCATTTTTGTTGCGCAACACCGAAATGCACAGGAGCGAAAGGCAAAACCAGCATACGCAAGGACGGTGAAGGAGCCATCTCAAAAGGGCTCCTCACATCCCCAAAAGAGATTCGGTCCAAGAGATATGTTCTGCAGGCTTGCTTGGATTGCCACCACAGACTCCCATAAACACCAGTCCGTGGAACACAATCACCAGCTGTGTCTAAAAATCGGGGCACCCCAAAACGATTTCGGGTCCGCTGGTGTTTGATTCAGCTTCCCACTAACTGGTGGCTTGGATTGGTGGTTGGGTGGTTCAGGAGGGGTCTCCCATTTAGCCGAAGTACGGGTTCAAATTCGAATCCAAGCCACCAATCCCACTCACCACTCCAAACCACCAATCCAAGCCACCAAAGAGAGGGGAACCGGGGAACCTGATTGATATGGTGGTTTCCGCGCAAAAAGTCGTCGCACGGCACAGCCAGCTCCCTGCCTTCTCAGGCTCCGGAAGCCTTGGGAATTTGTTTGGCGATTCGGACGCGAGGGAAAACCGCGAATGGGGTCCGGCCTGTTTTTGAGTTGGCACCGTGTCTTGCGGGGCGAATATTTTGGGGGTCCCCAAAGCACACAGCTTGAGTGTGATGGTTCCCAAAATAAGGAGACGCACTCAAACTGCTGTAATTATCTAGTTTCATTCCAGATGTGTCAGGCGTTCATGTTAGCAACGGACAATATAGCTTGTTTCCCAAGACAACATCCCTTGTCCTCCCCAAACAAACAGTAGACTATCACTAATAGCGTCAGTGAATGGTACATCCGAAAGGATCTGGTCTCAATATATGGGCGGCCAAATTCGATTTGACACGCCAGCGACCTGCTGCAGTCGGCTTGCTGCGGTACGCTTATTAACGAGCCACCTTTCCTTCGATGAGCATGGGAAATGAGCGCTCCCTCCCGGAATTTTGGTGGAAAGTTGAGTGAGTCCCCACAAGTTCCTCGCCAAAGTGACCATAGACCAAAGGAAAACCTCCGTTTGGGGGGGTCCCCTGAAAAAGCAGATTTCAGCAAGAGGTGAGCTCTGATTTCCAAATTGCCGGTGCCAGAGTGCGTTGTGCTACCCTTGGCCGAGCAGCCGGGCAGTGCGCGTTTGTTGCGTTGGTGCTCCTTGCTCAACGCAGCACCTTACCCCTGTTCTGTTGACAAGCTTTGTACAAACCATATCGACATACTGTGGATGGATGATGATTCCCCTGTAAATACCAATAAACAGTGGTTTCAACCATGGCTTCAAAGTGGTGCGAAATGGATTTTGTCCATCCACAGTAGGACTTGTTTCCCTTTAGTGCCCACCACAAAGTCCGAAATCCGTTTGACACCCCCGGGCCCAAGAGTGAAGGGGCCCTTCGAAGATCGCTTGTTTGTTGCCTCCGGAAAGAAAGCGAGCCCCAGGCTTGGATATGGCCCTGGAGATCAACACCCTGTACAGGGGTCCCCATGAAACAAGATATTACTCCTTAACATACCTCACCAAAAGGAAACTCACATTTGAATCGGCCCAAAAAGGAGGTGATGCTTAAAAGCACCAAAAAGGAGAAGAACAAAAACATGGGGAACCCCAAAAAGTACGCAAGGGCGTTACCAGTAAGCGACTGAGGCACGCGACTGAGGCATGCACTCGTCTGGGTCCCCTGGCGATGGTTTTAATTGCGGACGGAGAAACCCCGGGAGTCTCCGGAGAATCCGCCCCGTTACAGCTTCCCAAAAAAAGCGTGGAGCCGAATCGGTGGTTTTGGTTAGGCAATTGAGGGGTTTCCCATTCACCCACAAGAACCAGGGGGCCAAATCCGAACCAAATCAAATCCAAACCACCCATTCGCGTTTACCTGACTTTTGGTATCTCGAGGTTTGGAGAAAGCGAACACATGTTGAAGGAAAATGGTCGTCCAGAACACCCCTGGTGAGGTTCCATGTTGGTGGATAGGAGGGTATTTTGCATTGATACTCAAAAACAAGGCACTTAAGAACAAATGGATGTTTCTCATGCTGTCCCTTGTCAAAATTGTGGTCCTTCCGTCCGCTTTGAGAAACCCATGCAGATCATCGAAGTCCGGCCTTTCCCACTCATGACTCGCTCCCACTTGACGCGGAGCCGTCGATTCGGCCTGGATTCGATTCGGCGGAAATAAATCTTCGCGATGGCATGGTTTGATCCCACCAAATACAGGCATATATGGGTTGATCAATATTCCATTAAGGGCCCCAAATCACCATGAGTAACTGGTCCCATGTGGGTAAGATCATATCATATCTTTTGGGAGTCTTGCCTGATGGCCCTCCCATGTCTTACAGACCGTTCGATCAATCCCCATGTGGGTATGGGTCAAAATTAAACTACCAGGAATCGGACCGCAGGTTGAAGCGTCCATGTTTCCATTTACCGATCGGGCAACTCAGTTTGGCCTATTTTTGACCCACAGCCATATCAGGGTAGAGCTTGAACCTGAATCAAGATAAGTTCCCCGCAATGGACCTGAGAGGAGAGGCGCAAAGGGCAAAACGAGCCGTTTTCTTTTTCTCAGGGCAGCCTCAACCAGAAACCAATGAAAACCAAACCATTTGGCTGACTAAAACCTGCGGTCCCCTTGTGGTTTAATTTTGACCCACAACTATTTGACAGGTGCAAGGTGGTTTGGACGCGCATCAC